ATTTTTTTTTTTTTGTTATTTTATGTCATTATTTAAGGAGTATATATAATTATCTGTATTAGATAATATTTAGAAAATTAAATAAGCAGATATTTGTTTGCTAAGTAACCATAATATCATGTGTAATAATAAAAAATTAGAAATTACATTTCATATATGAAAATAATTTTCTATTTTAAAAATTTAAGAAATTAATATAAGTTATAATAATATCTAAATTAATATTACAAATCCATATTTTAGTATTATTGAAAATTGAAACAATTTTACACCTGAATTAACAACTTCCACTTCAATATTATTCTATAAATATATTAATATGAAAACGTTAACTTTATATTTAAAAATTACTACATTCCTTCTTTTAATTTGGATGTATCAATGTTTTTATAACGTAAGTTAAAATTTTTACAAAAAATATACATATAGATATATTTTATTTCTAATTATTTTTAACATTTCATTTGATTTTCTATTCTAACAAAAGAAACATTCTTTTAAAAAATTTTTATTTAATCCATAGTGTTATTCCTATAAAACATTGATTGATAAAAATATATTGCAAATAAAAAATGAGTTAAAATATGAAAGAGTATTAACAGAGGGGGACATAGCAGGTAATAAGCAAACTAACGCTGAAGAATGTCTAGAAGAATGTCCATTAGATAATGAAAAAAACAAATGTATAGATCCGGATCTATACAAAAATCCGCACCATTATTGGCGTAAGGTCATGATTCCAAAATTGTGGGAGCGATTTAATAAAGAAACAAGTGAAATGGACCCTAAATCGAAAAACCGAAAATGGAATGTTCATTGGTATAATATTTCAACTACGAAAGTTAGAGAACTATATTCAATGTCTCGTCGACGTGATATTCCAGATGAAGAAAAAAACGAAAAAATTGATAGTATTATGAAAGAAATTGACTCAGAATTTGATAAATTTTTATATGAATGTAAGAAAGAGATGACAGACAATAAAACAGAATACGAATCTAATAAAGATATAATAGAGAATATAACAGAATCCGAATCTAAGAAAGAGCAGGGAAAAAATGAAATAAAAAATAATAAATTAAAAATTTGGAAATTGTTTATTAATTGTTTTTATAATCCTGATGAGAATAAAAATTAATGGTTTAGCAGAGAATATAGGATTAGTCATGCACAAGATCTAGTTAAGAAAAGGAAAAATTTATATTTTGTCTAAATTTTTTTTATAGAAATATATTTTATTTTTTAAAAAAAAAAAAAATTAAAAGAGAAAAAATTTTTAGAAAGAAAAAATTTCATAAGAATATTTTTTAATTTTTAAGAATAAAATTTTCGTTAAGTGATATTAATATAATTAAAATTTTTCTTTATTATTTATGTATTTTCATTATTTTTAAAAGCTGCGAACTTAAATTACTGAAAATCTCTTATAAAAAGCAATAATTATTTTGTACTTAAAAATTAATAATTAATGAGAATATATGTTTTTAATAAAAATACATATTTTTATCAAAGTAAATTCACAATGAACCTCATTATTGTAGTTTATTTTTTTATATCATTGATATTAGATTTAAAATCCATTTAATTACTTGAGAAAACTCCATATTCTCTTTAATAATTTGTTTTTCATTACTCCAGCAAATTCACTCAATGATAATTTAATAAATTAAAAATGTAATTTATGGAAATAAATAAATCAGATAGTAAATGTACAGGATAAAATAGAAGAAAAAAAGTTGGATGCAGAACTATTACCAGCTTACCTACATGACAAAAAAAGGACACAAAAAGGAAAAAAAAAAAAAGTCTTTATTGAGAATTATTAGAGTTAAAGATTTGTTAATAAAAGGAATTATTAGCGTTTTTGAGAAAACAATCCATTAATATTTACAAAGATGTCTTATAAAATTTAACCTTTTAAGAAAAAAGTTATATTTGGAAGGGATAATTGTTGAATTCATTAATACTATATAAATGATTTACCTAAATTTCGTAAGTAAAATGAAAAATAAAAAATTGTGCCATAAATATATATAACTAAAAATAAGAAAGAAAATAAACACATCGTAATAATAATCAACACTTTTCAAATAAATATGTATAGGTAAAAAAAAAAAAAAAAAAAAAATATTTTTTTTATATTTAATTAGAAGATTATAATAATATATATGCAAAAAGTTATTTTATAATTCTCTTTTATCTTTATTTATTGATATTTTTTATATCCCAATGAAAATGCATTCTTATGAATTTTATAAGAAAAAATCTATTATATTTAAATAAAGATATATTTTTATATTCAGTAAATAATATTAATATTAAAATTGAAACTAATAAGTATTACTAGTAAAAAAGTAAATTTACAGGAATATATTTTTAGAATAAAGTAAATTTGTCAAAAAACTTTTTTTAAAAAATATTTTTTACTTTAAATATGTTATTAAAAAAATAGTATTTTTTTTTTTTTTTTTTAAATTGTAATTAATTTTTTTCACTTTTAAAAATGCTTTTTACATGATTTGTTATTATAATTTCTTAAAAATAAATACCTATCTTCACTTTTTCTTTTGATTTAAAGTACTTAATAAATTTTTTTTATTTTTTTTCAAATAATTGAAAAAGTAATATTTTTTTAAAAATAGTTATAACAAAAAATAAATATATACATATATTGTATAAACATTTATCAATAATAAAAATAAAAATAAAAGAATTAAGATAAAAAAATGTATATTAGAAAAATCAAAAAAGTTATATTTTAAAGAAAAATATACACAAACAAAAATTAGTTTCACATAAGTGAAAAATTGTGACAAATGTAGTATAATGCATGACAAATACATGCGTATAAAAATTTTTAATTTATAGAGTTTTTTTTTCTTTTTTTGATGGAGATATATCTATATAATATATGAAGACTTATATTTATAAATCATAATATACTGTATATTAAATAATTTAAAGTTCAAAATAATTCAAAGAGTTTATTAATTTAGAAAAAAAAAATTAAAAGAATCCTTTAACATTAAATGTATGTCATTTATAATTTTTATGTGCATTAATTAAAAATATTTTATTTTTTTAAATAATTTAAAGATAAATAAAATTTTAATAAAATATTTTTAAAATAACTTTAACCGATTTATTATATTTTTTATTTATTTGTTAATTAGTACTCTTATTTTATTTTTTAAAGAATTAAGAATATTATTCCTAATTAGTGTAACTATAATATCATGTGTAATAATAAAAAATTAGAAATTACATTTTATAAATGAAAATAATTTTCTATTTTAAAAATTTAAGAAATTAATACAAGTTATAATAATATTTAAATTAATATAACAAATCCATAATTTATCAATATTGAAAATTGAAACCATTTTACATCTGAATTAACAACTTCGCTTCAATATTATTCTATAAATATATTATTATGAAAACGTTAACTTTATGTTTAAAAATTACTACGTTCCTTCTTTTAATTTTGTTGTATCAATGTTTTTATAAGGTAAGTTAAAATTTTTACAAAAAATATACATATAGATATATTTTATTTCTAATTATTTTTAACATTTCATTTGATTTACTATTCTAACAAAAGAAACATTCTTTTAAAAAATTTTTATTTAATCCATAGTGTGATTCCTATAAAACCTTGATTGATAAAAATATATTGCAAACAAAAAATAAGTTAAAATATGAAAGAGTATTAACAGAGGGTAACATAGAAGGAAAAAAGCAAACTTACGCTGAAGGATGCCTAGAAGAATCTCCATTAGATAATAAAAAAAACAAATGTAAAAATCAGGATAAATACAAGGATCCGTCTAATTATTGGAATAAGGTCATTATTCCACAAATGTGGAAAAGATTTGATCAAGAAACAAGTGGAATGGACCCTAAATTGAAAGAAAAAAAATGGAATGTTGAATTGCATAAATTTTCAAATACGAAAGTTAGAGATATGCATTTAATATCTCGTCGATGTGATTTTTCAGATGAAGAAAAAAAACAAAAAATTGATAGTATTATGAGAGAACTTCACTCAGAATTTGAGAAATTTTTATGCAAATATAAGAAAGGGATGACAGACAATAAAGCAGAATCCGAATCAAAGAAAGGGATGACAGACAATAAAACAGAATCCGAATCTAAGAAAGGGATGACAGACAATAAAACAGAATCCGAATCTAAGAAAGAGCTGAGAGACAATAAAACAGAATGTGAATCTAATAAAGAGATGAGAGACAAAAAAACAGAATCCGAATCTAAGAAAGAGATGACAGACAATAAAACAGAATGTGAATCTAATAAAGAGATGAAAGACAATAAAACAGAATCCGAATCTAAGAGAGATCAGGGAAAAAATAAAAAAAAAAATGAGAAATCAAATATTTTCAAATTTCTTTTTTGTAGGTTTGATAACCATTAAGAGGATAAAAATTAATGGTTTAACAGAGAATATAGGATTATTCATGCACAAGATATAGTTAAAAAAAAGAAAAATTAATATTTTGTCTAAATTTTTTTTATAGAAATATATTTTATTTTTTAAAAGAAAAAAAATTAAAAGAGAAAAATTTTTTAGAAAAAAAAAATTTCATGAGAATATTTTTTAATTTTTAAGAATAAAATTTTCGTTTAGTCATATTAATATAATTAAAATTTTTTTTTTATTATTTATGTATTTTTATTATTTTTAAAAGCAGTGAACTTAAATTACTGAAAATTACTTATAAAAAGCAATAAATATTTTGTACTTAAAAATTATTAATTAATGAAAATATATGTTTTTAATAAAAATACATAATTTTTATCAAAGTAAATTCACAATAAACCGCATTAATGCGGTTTATTTGTTTATATCATTAAAATTATATTTAAAATCCATTTAATTATTAGAGAAAAGTCCATATTCTCTTTAATAAATTGTTTTTAATTCCTCTAGCAAATTCATTCAATGATAATTTAATAAAGTAAAAATGTAATTTATGGAAAGTAAATAAATCAGGTAGTAAATGTAGAGGATAAAATAAAAGAAAAAAAGTTGGATGTAGAACTATTAACAGCTTATTTAAATGACAAAAAAAGGACACAAAAAGGAAAAAAAAAAAAGGTCTTTATTGAGAATTATTAGAGTTAAAGATTTGTTAATAAAAGAAATTATTAGCGTTTTTGAAAAAAAAATTAATAGCTGTATGGAAAATAAACAGACATGAAGGTACTAGATAAATGAAGAAAAAAAGAATTGAATAGTGTGAAGAAAATATTCAAGTTATTAGAAAATAGAACAAAACTTTATAAGAAGTTTTTTCGTGGAAAATTTTTATCATTGAATTTTAAACAGAAAATTTTATATTAACAATAATAAAATTTTCGTGTTTGTATTATTTTATAACTTATTTTGTGTTTTGTTATTTATATTTGTTAATTCATGAGAAGTGGATTTGAAATGTTAAATATTAATCATAACATTATAAGTAAAATATATGTGATTTAAAACTAAAATTTATAAGGATTTAAATTTTTAATAAAAATAGGGATTTTTATTAAAATAATTAAAGGCCTCTTAAAAACAATAAATGCTCAATGAAGGAGACAATATACATTTCAATGGTTTATAGTATTAAAAACATATTTAAATTCATTTAAATGGTAGAAGAAACTCTACATGCTCGTTGTTAATTTTTTTTTTCAATACTCTAGCAAAGTAATGAATAGGAAATTAATAAAACATTAATTATATTTATTTTACTTATATTATGATTTATATTTAACAATTCAAAGTTATTGCTCTCAAATTAACAACCATAAAAAATTGATAAAATTCAAATTATATTACGTAAGTACTACAAAACACAAAAATTATATTATAGTTAATATAAAATTTTATTATATAATTTAAATAAAAATACACCACAATAAGCTTTCTTATTTAATAACTTTTTCTTCTATTTTTCGACAACTAAATTCCTTTTAAAAAAAGAAAAAATTTATTTTTTTATGTATTTAAATTACAAGAATAAAAAAAACCATTAACTAATTTTTATCTTTTTTTTTTTTAATTAGCATTTTCATGTTGGTTAATAAAATATATTATTAACCTTTTTGATCATAAACGGTAATAGTTGTGTGGAAAATATATAGTTATACATGGAAATTCTAGATTAAAAAAAAAAAAAAAAAAAAAAATAATTGTTAATTTCATTGTTTTCTTTTTCTAATTTTTAAATAAAAAAAAAAAAAATATATTTACTTTTTTTTTAAAATGATTAATTTTTCAGTTGAAATATTAATTTATTTATTTCTTATTCCATAACTTTACTATAGGATTGAGCAAACATATTAATAAAGTGATTTATTAATTGGGTGTTCGGGGACTTTACTATAATACTGAACAAACCAATTAATAAAGAGCATGTTGAGATGTCTCTACTATTTTTGTATATTTGTATATATTTTTATTTTTGATTTGAACAAGTGATCTTTAATCATAATCTACTTCGTTCAGCATTTTTTTATCTCAAAAGGTATTTATTTATTTTAATAAATAAATCCTTATTTTTATTAAAAATTTAAACACTTATTTAACATTAACTATTAATTGACTATAATTACTAGTTTATTTATTATGAGTTATATTCAGCAATCATTTTATATTGCTGTTGAATTAACGCAACAAAAATACTTATTAAAAATGCAAATAAATTATATGAATATTAATTACGTGAAAATTTTTCTTCATATGTATAAAATTTTCTCTCACAAATTCAAAATATAAATATTATGCAAATTAAACGCTTTACAAAAATATTATTATCTTTTGTAAAAAAAATCTCTCTCCTCTGATTCTCTTTAAAAAAAATTAATTCTTTTTATTTTTTTTTTTAATTTTTATCTTTATCTTTTTTGAAAGAAACATTTTTCAAAAAAAATTCCAATAATTTTTTTTTTTTTTTTTTTTTTTTTTTTTTAGTTAGTACAACTAACTATGTATTCTCCACATAGCTAGTCCTTTTATAGCCAAAAAGGTTAATGAAGCCTTTTATTAACCAGTCAGTTAGAAAAACCTTCACACGGATCTTCTATATAATTATTTCTATAAGCATTTAATATTTTATCTCCACATTTATATCTCATTTCATTTGCTTTTTTAAATAAAATTTCTTGTACAATGTTTGACACAATATTAGCGATATAACATTTAATATACATGTCCATTAAATAAACCAAATCAACATGCCTCATCTCTATTTCATTAGATGGGTAACGATCTATAAGTATTTCAATAGAAGATGATTTTTTTTCTGATTTATCTCCCTCTGCTAACACTCTTTCGTGTTTTAACCCAATTTTTGTTTGTAATGTATCTCTATTAATCAATGACTTAGTGGAATCATACTATAGGATTAAATAAAAATTGTTTAAAATGTTTTTTTCAATTGTTATATTAATAAATTAAGTAAAATTTTTAAAATGATTAGAAATAAAATATATTTATATGTGTTTTTTTTATATGAATTTTATCTTACCTTGTAAAAAAAAGGGAATATCCAAATTAAAAGAATAAATGTAAAAACTTTGAAATATAAAGTAAATGTTTTCATTTTAATACTATTATAGTCTAATATTAAAGTCAGAGATATTAATCCAGTTCAAAAATTGCTTCTATCTTTTCTAAGAATAAGTTAGAGATAAGTAATATTGCTTTAGGTATTATTACGACCTTTGTAAATTTTATAAGTTTTTAAGGTAAAAAATTATTTGTTTATATGAAATGTAATTCTTAATTTTTTATAATTATACATAATATTACATTTACTTTATGTAAGGTTAATGCTATTAATTTTTCAAAAAATAAAATAAATAATAAGGTATATATGTTAAAAAAAAATGTTAAAATATGTAAAGCTATTTTAAAAATATTTCATTAAAATTATATTCATCCTTAAAGTAGATAAAAAAATTATATAATGCTAATTTGAAATAAATTAAATTATAAATGTTATATAATTAATCTCAATAAATTTTTTTTATTTTTTTTTTTTTTGTTTAACTATTAATTTTTTTTTCTGTGAATCACGTTAAACTTTAAATTATTTTATACATGGTATTTGGTTATTTATAGGTATAATTTTAGATATATTAGAGATATTATATTTCTATCAAAAAAAAAAAGAAAAAAAAAAAACACTATAAATTAAAAATTTTTCTATGCATGTATTTTTCATACAGTATACTATATTTGTAGTCATTTTTAATTATATATGAAACTAATTTTTAATTGTGCATGTTTATTCTTTAAATGTAGCAATTTTGATTTTTCTATTATATTTTTTTTATCTTTATGTTTTCTTTTTCTTTTTGTTATTAATATATGTTTATATAATATGCATATACATAATTATTTTTTAAAAAAATTTCCTTTTTCAATTACTTCTCACAAAATAAAAAAAAATTATGAAATGCACAAATTCAAAAGAAAAAGTGAAAACATATCTATTTTGAAGAAATTATAATAATATATCACATTAAAAAGCATTCCAAATTAATTACAATTTAAAAAAAAAAAAAAAACTATTTTTTTAATCATATGTATATAGTAAAAAGCATGTTTCAAAAAATACTTTATTTATTTTTCGACAAATTTACTTTTGTAATTATTCTAAAAACTGTGAAGAAAATTCTTTTTTATATGAAACATATTGTATAAATATATTTTTATAAATTATTTTTTTTTGTAATTAATAATCATAAGCACAAACATTAAATTTAATAAAAATGTTAATTATTATATTAACTAAAAAGATATATCTTTAATTAAATATAGTGAATTTTTTCCCAGAAAATACAAGGATATATATGTTCATTAAGATACAAAATGTATCAATAAATAAATATAATACAGAATTATAACATATCCTTTTGCATGTGCATTATCATTACCTTATAATTAAATATGAAAAAAAAATTATGTGCCTTTTTTTTTAGCCTTTTTATACATAATCGATAATTTATAATTATTATGATAATTCTTTCATTTTATTTTTTATTTTGTTATATTTTAGTTGTGAACATTTTTATTGCTATTCTTTTATTTTTCCTTATCTTTCTCATAAAATCTAAGTAACTCAATTATTGTACTATAAATAATATTATCGACCTATTTTAAATAATATTTAGATAAATATAGAAAAAATATTTTTAATTATATACGTCATATTGCAAGGAAAATATGCATACATGAAAGCGTAAAGAATGTACGTATCTTAAAAAAAAAATACACTCACTATAAGTAAATACATTTAATAAAAACAATTGCTTTAACAGTAAATGCATCTAAAAAAAAATACATTCTCTAAAAGTAGATGCATTTAAAAAAAATACTTGCTCTAAATAGGAATAAGATATGAAAAAAATGTGGATATAATT